TGAGACTGGTGAACGGCTGACCAGACACGGCTTGAACATCTTGTGAGCAACTGTGGCAGCGGAGAGAGGCCTAGCTGAGCAGATTCACATGGATGCCAGGAAAGGAGGATGTCTTCTTTTCCCCCCATAGTCCCCTGGTGACCTGAGGTGTGGCAGCTCCTACCCCAACCACTCCCAGTGCAGACCGGGAGTTCAGAGCCATGTGGTTGGGAGCCACGGCAGTGTGATTTGGGGACTGGCTGTGCTCAATTCCAGACCTATAAAACCCACAGATCCACCAGATCAGTCATGCTGTCCCCAGCTTCCTTTTGGTCCTAACAGACACTAAAACCAGTTCCATGAAGCACCCCCATGAACTACTTCTGGATTGAGTGCCCTGAACATAGATAACACGGAGGCCAACAGGAAGTCCATCTAGGGCCCGGAACTCTGCTGCCACATCCCTCCCACAAGCACCCTGTGAGCTTCTGGAATTACAGGAACCCTCCCACCCTCACCCGAGATTTCTCTGCTCTGGGTCCAACAACTGCACTGTTTGTTTTTACAAATACAACAACCCCACAATGCCCCAGGGACAACAGACAAATTTTACCTCACATGAAGAAAAGGCTAACTTGTTTTGCAAATTGTGTGATTTTCCAAAAACCATTTCGGAGAGCTACAAGCCATTTGCAGTCAGGGTACAAGTGGAGAGGCAACATCATGGATGAATGGTCCTCCTGAGGCTGAGTTGTTTTCTGTCAATGGCGGTATTAACATGACAAAATAACTAACTTGTTGGAGTTTTATAGAATGTATCTGGCAGCAGCTTTGCTCTTCACAATCCCTGCCTTAGGAGGATGGAGTGAGAAGACAGAGCAGATAACTTGCTTTATTAACAGTTTCCATGTTGTGAATATCAAGTCTGTGCCAGGCACTCTATGCACACAATTGGTCTTCACCCACCAAGACGCGCTGCCAATTGGCCGCGGTTCCTCAGAAGCACAGAGCCCACTATGCACTCGGACCCTATGCCTGTGGTCAGCCTACATTCAGGCAGAGTGGACTGGCCCTGCCCTTCCATCTCCAGGGGCATGGCCTGTCTGTGGTGGCTCCCCAAATATCTTTACTCTCTGTTCCTTACTTCTCCATCTTATAAGACAAGTTGGTCCTTCTCTGTTATCTGGTGATGTAAATTCTGAGAGAGGAAATAAAAGGTCCTCATGATCCAAGGCTCACTCAGTGAAAAGGTACAGAGGAAGAGCAATGAAAGGTATCCCCTAAAAGCCCTAATACTTACTAGTCTGGACAGTGCTCTGGAACCAGCATAGATTATACCCACAAACAGCACTGAAGCAGGAAGCCACATCAAAACATCAGATCTGGAAAAATAGAAAAACGCCATCATATATTTGCCACTTACATCAAAAAACCTAGCTGGAAGGTATTAATCCTACAGACACAATCACAAAGTTAGGCCTACGCGTACAACTTCATCAAGCAAATACCACTCCTGGGTAGTTATTCAAATGAGATGAGAATATATTTATACATTAAAACCTGTAAGTAAATGTTTGTTGGTGGTGGTGGTGTTGTTAAGTGCTGTCGAGTCAGTTCTGATCCATAGTGACCCTGTATAGGGTTTCTGAGGAGCAGCTGGTGAGCTTGAACCACTGATCTTGAAGTTCAAACAGCTTTGCAGTCTGGCACATTAACCCACAGCGCCAGAAGCAACCTAGATGTTCTTCAATAGATTAAACAAACTGTGGTACATCCACACAATAGAGTATTACTATTCAGTGATAAAAAGAAATGAGCTATTAAGCCATGAAAAGCCATGGAGGAAACTTACATGTTTAATGTTAAATGAAAGAAGCCAGTATGAACGAGCTAAATACTATATTCCAACTATCTGATACTCTGAAAAAGATAGAACTACGTTGTTGTTGTTCAGTGCTGTTGTGTCAGTTCCGACTCACAGTGATCTTGTATAGGTTTTCTGACAAGCAGGTGGTGGGTCTGAACCACCGACCGTATAGTAAGCAATCCAGTGCTTATCCTATAGCACCACACCAGGACTCTGGCAGACCTATAAAGGTAGTGAAATGATCACTGGTTGCCAGGAGGCCAGGAAGCCAGGAGTGAGTATGAACAAGTGGAACACAGGGCTTTGGGGGCAGTAAAATCATTCTATATGATACTGAACATACAACAGGAACATTTGTCAAAACTCATAGGTGTATACAACAAAAAGAGTGAACCCTACTATATACTGTAGGCTTTAGGTAAAATAATGTACCAATATATTAGACTATCAATTTATAACAAATGTATCACCAGAATGCAAACTGTTCATCACGCAAGGGAAAGAAAGGGCATATGGGAACTCTCTGTACTTTCTGTACATTGTTTCTATAATTCTAAAACCGCTCTAAAAAATAGTCTCTTAAAAAAAATACAGTCTGGCTCATTCAGCACAATGTGGTCTTTTTCAAGTGGGAGAGTGGCGGAGGCAGCAAAGCCTTCTTCCTACGACCTGTAATTCTGCCACCCACCTACCAGGACCCATCCTAAAACCAGAGCACCCAAGAGCTGGAAACGAGAAAAGTCTTGCTGCAAGCTGGTGGAGACACCAGGTCTGATACATTTTTTTAAAGGGTTGTTGTTGTTGTTAGGTGCCATGGAGTCAGCACGAACTCATAGCAACCTTATGCACAGTAGAAC